CTGTACCACAGTTTGACATTTTTACTGTTTCATGTTATGCTTCATATCGGTTACTTACACAGTTGGATATGAGTGTCCAGGTCTTCCAAGCCACAGTTTTGTCCCAATGGCTTACCAAAAACCTCTGATTCATGAATAAAAGGCTTTTGTATTAAGCAAATAGTCTGAGAATCTTAGTCTAGCTGGATTGTCTGGTCCAGACTCGCTTCTTTACAGACCGCCGCCCTGTAGCTGGAATATTGCTGAGTGAGGCGTAAAACTTAACTCACTCACTTATTTACCGATTGCCGTCATTTAGCTATAATATTGCAGACTGCTGTGTAAACAAAACACAAAACGTGTTATTGTGAACTAAGGTGGTCGGGGGTCGGAGTATCGGAGGAGGAGGGAGGGTGTGTGTTTAGCCTAATGGTTAAAGCGTTCGCTCCTAACGCCGAAGACATGGGTTCGATTCCCCTCAAAGGTACAATGTATGAAACCTACTTCTGGTGTCTCCCGCCGTGATATTGCTGGAATATTGCTAAAAGCGGCGTAAAACCCAACCCACTCTCTCACTCTCTAAGGTGGGGTTTAGTAGTCCGACTCTGTGGGTGGACTGAGTCAGTGTGTCAGTGTTTCCTGATGTCAACAGTTGCTCATGTCTTCAGTCACTAGTTTACTTGTGTATCTTCTTCTGGGAGATGAAAGTTTGATGACTACCATATTAAGCAATCTTTTTATTGCTTATCGTCTCTCCACCCATGAAGATCCGGGTCAAATTGATCTTCAGTGACCCATGCTTGTTGTCAGAGGCGACTATAACGGGATTGGGTGGTCAGGCTTGCTGACTTGGTTGACACATGTCATTGTATCTCAGTTGTGTAGATCGATGCTCATGATGTTGATCACTGGATTGTCTGGTGCAGGCTCGATTATTAACAGACCACCGCCATTAAGCTGGAATATTGCTGATTGCAGCGTAAAACAAAACTGACTCACTCCATGTTTCTCATGATGCAAGGACAGGGGCGGATACAGCTTTTTGAAAAGGTAGGGGGGAGGTTGCACACTTCATTTTCACCTATTTTCATGGGGCATTTAATAAACTTTCAGGATGGGTGTGTGTGTGGGGTGTGTGCAAACACACGCACACACACACACACTGGACACACAGGAAGGAGTGGATCCCGTGCAGCACATGTTGAGCACACAAGGCCAACTTGATAAATTGAGTGGTCCAGTTCAATGGCATATCACCATACATTGTTTCTTATAACACCAATCACTGGTTTGTCTGACCCAGATTTGATTATTCATAGGCTGCTTTTATATAGCTGCAATACTGAGCACAATTAACTGACAAACAAAAATGTAATACATTTAATTTTTTAATAATGATTAAAAATGCTGGTGTGAAAATAAATCACCTAGGTATTTTCAAACAAATGTGTTTATGCAGCATAGGACCAATGGTCCTGTGAACAAGTGTAGAAAGAGTATCATTGCAAAGATTTTAAGATGTTTTAATAACATGTTCACACTGTCGAAATACTGTATGATGTACAAATATATGAGGGCAGTCTGAAAACAGTTGTCTGGACCAGAGAGTCAAGTAATTGACATTGAGAGCATCAGTCTTCTACCTAGACTAACAACTAGTCTCTGAAGTGAACATATTTTACAGGAAAAAAAAGTTCATAGTAAAAAAAATAAATTATAATGAAAAGGAGCCCTGAGACTTTCTTCATTTTCAGAAATTGAAGCTGTGGAAATCTCGACTTGCCATATTTCTAGACTTGTGTGGGCTTACTTGGATATTTTTGCTTCAGGGTCTGTATGACAGACTATCTACGACTATACGCATTTGAGATATGATACATGCATGTAACGACAAACATGGTTCATTAGGACTGATTCTAATCTTAGATCTTCCAGCGCTTGCAGAAACAGACCTCTCTGTGTATTTGTTTAAAGTAGGAGAAGATGGCTGCCATCCAACTGTTCACCTCAGTGTTTATGTGTTTATCAGAACTGAGGAAGAATTTGGAATTTTTCATAGTTTTTCTATTTCCAAGAGTGTTTGTTGCAGAGAGAAGCAGCCCTTGAAAGTTCGAAAGTGTCCTTGAAAAGTGCAGACATGTTGGATTTCATTATCTAAATGTTTGCCACTAATGGAAAATATAAGTTTAACAATAACTTGGTTACAAAGCAAGTCAATACTTGGATATACTGTCACTGGTGTGTCATCAAGATTAATCAAAATGCAAATGGAATTAATTTCAGCAACTTAAATCAATATTGATCTCACAAAAACCTGCTCTGCTTTAATGAATCATGTTCTATAGAGCACCTGTGGTATGAAAGTCTGCAGCAGCTGGGAGATAACTAGCCTTGCTCCAAGTCTATATTCACTGATAAGTCCATGAGTGCAGAGCAATCCCATCCATATGATCAGTAAGTCTAGATAAGGATGCTGGAGTTATAAAGGGACACATTGTTCTTGTTGTTTACAAATCTGGGAATTATGATTTAACCTAATATTTGTTTCTCTGGAGACTTGTGCAAGTCTAGGGAGGATTAATTGTGGATGATGCTGATCAGAGGTCAACCTGCAGCTGCCCAACCAACTGTGAGACAGTTATGTCACCACACCTGCTGTCGTTATTCAGCAACAGCATGGAAATTGACTGCAGAGGGAAATACATTATTGAAAACAGAGGAAGCCTATGGTCATTTAATCTTCAGTTATTGTTTGGGAGACATGTTGATGTGTAGCTGTGGTGTGTTATAGCGAGGGGAACCTGTTGTTTATTGTGAGGGGGAACCTGTTGTTTATTGTGAGGGGGAACCTGTTGTTAATAGTGAGGGGGAACCTGTTGTTTATAGCGCTGGGGAACCTGTTGTTGATTGTTGGTATGCAGGTCCGGATGTGACAAGTTAGATCTGATGACATTTTGAACCACTAGGAGTGTCTGACATGCATTTGAATTGTCATATCCGCTGTAGGAGATATATGTTGCCTCGCACTCAGCAGTAACCAGATCGAGCTGATGTTGTTCATAGTGTAAACAATACTTGGATACTGCTGTTTCCTGGAGAACAATACTTGAATATCTCTTCTGTAGTTCAATACTGAGATACCTCAGTTGCCTGGAATACAACATGGATACTGCTATGGCATGGAGTTCAATACTGGGATACTGCTGTTGTCTGTAGTTCAATACTGGGATACTTCCATTGTCTGAAGTACAATACTTACATGCTGCCTTTGACTGTAGTACAACGATTTGGACACTCAATATGGAAGATTTATATGTGATGTGTTTTGGTGCTTGACACAAGATCCTGTCTATCAGTTTTGTGGAATTTAGCTTTCTGTGGTTTGTATTTTGCTACAAGTGAGTTGACATTTGTTGGAGTTAACTGTTGACGTGCAATGTCCAGGATGAGACCTGCTAGTTCCCAAGGAACGTGGTATCCTCATGGCAATGAGAACAAACTTAAGTACAATATCTGGAGGAAGATTCTGAAGGTAATGTTGGGAAGCGTTGTGTTCTCGTTTAGGGGTAATGAGTGAGTGATAGTGTAAGGTTTTACGCCATTTAGCAATTATTCCAGCAATATCACGGAGGGTCACATCAGAAATGGCCTTCGCACATTGTATCCATGTGGGGAATCGAACCTGCGTCTTCAACATGACGAGCAAACACTTTAACCATTAGGCCACCCCAAGGGGTAATGATGTCAAGAGGGAAATGTCACGTTCTTCTTGATAACGGGTGGTGATGAAGCCCAGTGGATGGAGTCTTTGCTTACCACACCTCTGTCATGGTTCAATTCCCCATGGGTAGAATGTGTTGAACCTGTCCCTGTTGTATATCTCTGTGACATGGCTGGAATATGGCTCACCCCCCACCCACCCCTTAAATTTCCTGAATATTACCTGAATATATATAAAACTTTTTTTTCCTCATCATTAAAATTTAGGGGGATATGGGCGGAAGTCTTACCTGTTATTATGCTTTGATGATACGGATCATTCCTTCCATTGTCACTGGATTATCTGGTCCAGACTGTATGTACAGGCTGTCATATAGCTGTTGAGTGGTCAAAGCTGCATTTAATCCAATCACTCCCTCTCTCCTTCTTCTTTAAGGGGGGCGGTGGGGTAGCCTAATGGTTAAAGCGTTGGCTCGTCATGCCGAAGACCCAGGTTCGATTCCCCACATGGGCACAATGTGTGAAGCCCATTTCTGGTGTCCCCCGACGTGATATTGCTGGAATATTGCTAAAAGCGGCGTAAAACTAAACTCAGTCAGTCAGTCAGTCTTCTTTAAGCATCTGCAATAGCTATATATTTCACTGTTATGCCTTACGCCTCTACCTTGCAGTGGAGCCGACTTCAGTGGGAATTGTGTGGCTGACACTTGGTGACGCTCAGATAACATTCAGTCTCACTGCATTTTGACAGCAATTTCAATCAAATCAGATCTGTTACTCTGATACAAGAAAACATTCAATCAAGCATATAAGATTTCTGTCTTGATATTGACCTAATCAAGATTGTAGGTAGTTAAGGACAGATTTTATGTTGTTATTCTATAAAATCCAATCATTTTTGAGTCCCATGGCAATATTCACCCAAGGTTGTACCAGCAAGTAGATATTTGTGATGTATTGAGGTGTTTTATACAAATCAAACTTTTAGAATCAATAGGATGAAGAAATGAAGCCAGATTTGTATGTTTGATGTTTTGCGGAGATCTGATTTACTCGAGAACTCTCATGTCTTTCATTTAGATCAGGTGGACAGTTTTCACTCAGTCTTCGCCTGATGCAACCTCAAAGAGACATGTCATCAGAACTTCACACAGAGAACCATTGAACATTAGGCTCAAATTGTATTTTATATAAGTTTATTTACTATATCCCTATGAATTTCATCCACTCTTTTTTCACTAAATATCACAAACCGGTCATTATACTTTCATATTTTTAAATTTCTGCCTGTTTATTTCCAGAAAAGTTTCAGTCCTCCAAGCAGTCCATCATCACTAAGAGACGGGAAGTGTAAGTAGAATGTGTTTCCTCTTGTTTCATCTCCATCACCATTTGTTGAGTATTAATAGAGTGTTTGTTATAGCAAGCCTGTTATACGGATGCCTGTTTAAGGCAAGTCTGTTATATGGATGCCTGTTTAAGGCAAGTCTGTTTAAGTATGCCTGTTTAAGGCAAGTCTGTTATGTAAGCCTGTTTAAGGCAAGTCTGTTATACGGATGCCTGTTTAGGGCAAGTCTGTTATACGGATGCCTGTTTAAGGCAAGTCTGTTATATGGATGCCTGTTTAAGGCAAGTCTGTTAAGTAAGCCTGTTTAAGGCAAGTCTGTTATACGGATGCCTGTTTAAGGCAAGTCTGTTATATGGATGCCTGTTTAAGGCAAGTCTGTTATATGGATGCCTGTTTAAGGCAAGTCTGTTATATGGATGCCTGTTTAAGGCAAGCCTGTTATACGGATGCCTGTTTAGGGCAAGTCTGGTACACGGATGTCTGTTTCAGGCAAGTCTGTTATAAAGATGCCTGTTTAAGGCAAGTCTGTAAAGTAAGCCTGTTTAAGGCAAGTCTGATATAGCGATGTCTGTTTAAGGCAAGTCTGTTATACGGATGCCTGTTTAAAGGCAAGTCTATTAAGTAAGCCTGTTTAAGGCAAGTCTGTTATATGGATGCCTGTTTAAGGCATGTCTATTAAGTAAGCCTGTTTAAGGCAAGTCTGTTATATGGATGCCTGTTTAGGGCAAGTCTGTTATACGGATGCCTGTTTAAGGCAAGTCTGTTATACGGATGCCTGTTTAAGGCAAGTCTGTTATACGGATGCCTGTTTAAGGCAAGTCTGTTATACGGATGCCTGTTTAGGGCAAGTCTGTTATACGGATGCCTGTTTAAAGCAAGTCTGTTATACGGATGTCTGTTTAAGGCAAGTCTGTTATACGGATGCCTGTTTAAGGCAAGTCTGTTATACAGATGCCTGTTTAAGGCAAGTCTGTTATACAGATGTCTGTTTAAGGCAAGTCTGTTATACGGATGCCTGTTTAAGGCAAGTCTGTTATACGGATGCCTGTTTAAGGCAAGTCGGTTATACGGATGCCTGTTTAGGGCAAGTCGGTTATACGGATGCCTGTTTAAGGCAAGTCTGTTATACGGATGCCTGTTTAAGGCAAGTCTGTTATACGGATGCCTGTTTAGGGCAAGTCTGTTATATGGATGTCTGTTTAAGGCAAGTCTGTTATATGGATGTCTGTTTAAAGGCAAAATCTGCCTGTTTATATGGATGTCTGTTTGGAAGGCAAATCTGTCTGTTAAGTAAGCCTGTTTAAGGCAAGTCTGTTATAATGGATGCCTGCAAAATCTGTTATACCGATGCCTGTTTAAGGCAAGTCTGTTATACCGATGCCTGTTTAAAGGCAAGCCTGCTATACGGATGCCTGTTTAAGGCAAGTCTGCTATACGGATGCCTGTTTAAGGCAAGTCTGTTAAGTAAGCCTGTTTAAGGCAAGTCTGTTATACGGATACCTGTTTAAGGCAAGTCTGTTAAGTAAGCCTGTTTAAGGCAAGTCTGTTAAGTAAGCCTGTTTAAGGCAAGTCTGTTATACGGATGCCTGTTTAAGGCAAGTCTTTTATACGGATGCCTGTTTAAGGCAAGTCTGTTATATGGATGACTGTTTAAGGCAAGTCTGTTATACGGATGCCTGTTTAAGGCAAGTCTGTTACACGGATGCCTGTTTAAGGCAAGTCTGTTATACGGATGCCTGTTTAGGGCAAGTCTGTTATATGGATGCCTGTTTAGGGCAAGTTTGGTTTAGGAAAGCCTACTTAATGCAAGCCAGTTTTAGACAAGGATGAAAATGTCTGTGAAGACACAACTCATGCTTAGTGTACAGGTGGTCAGTCTTGCTGATTTTGTTTTTTTATTCATGTCATTGTATCCCAGTTGCATGGATAGATGCTCATGATGTCAGTTACAGATTCAGTTGTTTACGTATCAATGGCATTGTTTACGTCATACTGGTGGAATATTGCCAGATTGAACAACTGACAAAACAAAAACAATATTGAAGTCACCTGTTGATTTGCAAAAACATCCGACCAATAATTTTAATATCATGTTGACATATTTATACATATATACTATACAGTTTTGTGGAAGCCATGGTTGCTGAGTGGCTTTAAAGACAGTCACCATATGTCGGGAACATTGCTGAGTGGGGCATTAAACAACAAACCAAAAATCATTAGGGCATTTACAAATTTATTATTTCTTACAAGAAATAGAGCCACAATACATGTTGTTTTTACACAGCACTTTGCAGCAGACAACACTGTTGACTGTTTGATTGGCATTCTCAGTTTAGGAGTCGATAAGAAAACAGACAACTTAATGGATAAGAACATCTGGGTTATTGCATTAGTTGACATTTCAGTATAGATTCCTGCACCGTTCTCAGTAATCTGAGTACATTATGCATGTTATAAAAACGTGTCAAGCTGTGCATCAGTTGCACTGTAGATAGGGCTGCAATCAATATGTACATTGCCCATGTCTAAATGGCCTGCAAGCTAGCCAGCCACTGCTATGAAACTACATGTCATTACTGTTTCTCCTCAGCCTGTCTGATATGGTAATCACATGGCTGTGTTGTCACTGCTATTTATAGCTCCAGTATGGAACAAACCATTTTATGGGGAGGGTTTTAGGGATGTTTGTTATTGTTATCATCAGATATATTTAGGCCTTTGATTGTCTGTATGCAACATCTATTCCTGTTTATGTGTGTGAATACATTCCCTGGTCAAACCTGCAGAATGAATCATCTCATTTGCTGAGAATTGAGCAACCCTTACAAAATGCACCCCTATCAAAAAATGGTTTAGCCTCATGAATATTAATTTATGTAAATATAGAGGAAGTATGATGCATTGTGGTAGCAACCTTGAGGAAGTGTCTCTGTTGACAGTGAGGTAGATAATTTTTGCCCTAGTACTTTCCATCCAAACTGAGTCCTGGGGGCTAAAAAATCCTCCCAAAAACCCATGAGCACTGGTGGTGATTTAGACATGGATTCCCCTGTGTCGTCTTCAGGTAGATTCTTGAGTTGAAGTGCCTGTCATTGCTGTTGAATGTGGCTGAAAGTCCTCTCTTGCTTCTCTCCATTGGGATAAGGCTGCTGCTGCTGCTGCTGTTTAGGCACACCTTGAATGAAAATTAATTGATTGATTAAAAATGTAACACGTCTCTCTGCTTCTGACTAACAGCTTTCCTAACCAGTTCTGCATGCTGTTCAATCTGTTGTACTGTGTCTATGTAATATCTTCCATAAATGTATAATTAATTAGTTACCAAATATATCTGTAGAAATCTGACATGCATGCATGCTTCAACTCAACTGTCTATCTGTCGCTACTTTCATCATTTTCTGTTTCTGATTCTTGATGTCTTATTATTAGTTTATTTGTCAGTTGTTCGTATGTGGTGAAATTGTCAATGATTATTAATTTATGGGATTATGTAATGGCTGGGAACCATATAAATTGAACATATTTTAACAATTAGGAAATATAAGCATATGTGATATGGATCACTGATCAAATATGAAATTCTACACACATGATGTGACATTGTCTGTGCTCACAAGAGCATATTGTATCACAATAGCTATCAAAAATATGATTATTTACTGGTTTATTTGAGAGTAAACTATAATAATGCATGAACATGATTATGCAGTTTCTAATTTTGCAATCAAAATTATGACTTTCAGTCTCCAGCTGTTTGCACATGACTTCTACACAAAAAGGTAGAATGTTTTTCTTTTGTGGTTTATATAACAATTTCCGTATGATATCAATTTGACAAGATTTGAAAGGCATGAATTTCTTTTACAATTACCCTTAAATTTCCATGTTGCCACAGTATTTTACAGAAATATCACATATAGAATAAGGAACATAATATATGTATGAAGAAGTCTTTTCTGAAGTATTTGTATCTAGACAGTCGTGGATACAGGACAATAGACTACTCTACTGTGTAATGCTAATAGAGCTTGCTGAACCTGCATGGGTATTATCTAGATTTGTCTGGGTGTCATTAAATACCTTCATTCAACAGTCATGGTGCTGAGCTAAGGTGGGCAAGGTTCTGAGATCCTTAGGTTATATTCTTGGGACACCCTAATTTTTCATCTTATTAGGTTAGGCTTCCAAGACATGGAAGATTTTCCTTTAGTTCATAGTTTCAATACTCTGCTTTGCTACTGTGTTCAAGGTTTTGGGATCCTTCAGGTTTTATTCTCGGGACACCCTAATTTTTTATCTTGTAAAGGTTAGGGTTCCAAGACATGGAAGCCTTGCGTTTAGTGCATAGGTTCAACACTCTGCTTTGTGTCTTGTATTATATTCTTAGCCTTTGATTCGGCCCTGTGCTAGCTGACCTTCATATCCAACTAATCTTCTCACATGAGTGAACACATATGAACATTGATCGCCACTGACAGGTTGCTTAAGGTTCATGGTTGTACACACGGCTGGAAGTGCCCATAGCAGAACGTTTCTTGTTTATGTGAGTACCAACTACATTCCAACACCTCCATGATGAAACTTACTGGTCAGAATGAGAACTCGTATATGTTTTCAGTAGACCAAAATGATCTGTAACAAAGTTGTCATCCACCTACGGGTATGGCTGGTAGGAAATGTCACTTGACCTTCTGAACCTTATCAGTTTCAGAGAGCAGATTTTTTCAATCCCTGCTAGTGCACAATGATATATATTCAGATGTTGATCATATCATGTGATAACTTGCTCACAGAGATAACTGTTTGATAACAATCACATGTAACTTTAGTTTTGTCTGTCATCATGATGTTTAAGAATCATCTGTTGTCTTTATGTCAGTTGTTGCCCATTAGCTAAGAAAGGAAGCCCGTGGAAATATTCAGTGTGGTGCAATCAGGGAACACTTGTCTGTAAGTTCTAGGACAAGTGAAAATCTTAAGAAGATGAGCTATTTTTTCCCTGAAAGTAGTGATATTGTATACATGTCTTGTCAATTAAAACTGATGGATATGATATCATGGCGTCTGCTGCTTAAGTCATATTGATAAAAAATAAACATTGAGATTGCAAATTATGAATGAATCATGGCATTTTGACTCTTGAATTTATTGTAGATTGATGGTCATAAGTTGTCAGTAATTTGTATTGTTTGGAGGATAAAAGAAAACCAGTGCAAAGATAGTAATATCATTCATATGATAACCACAGTGTGTGAGATACAGAATTGGCAGATTATATATACAAGACTTAGATCTGTGTTTTGTTAAAACCTTGACTTTCATTGTAGAACAAATTTTTATGGATAACAACTTCTTTATTTCGTGAGTGCGACGTTTCGATACAGATATTTGTACTATTGTCCTGCTGTATCGAAACGTCGCACCAACGAAATAAAGAAGTTGTTATCCATAAAAATTTGTTCTACATTGTACATCTCAACTTCTAAAATGCCACTCAAACAAGTTACTTGACTTTCATGTTATAGCAGTTCTTGGGACTATGATACCTTATAAGTATTCTGTTTGTTGTTATTGCACCGAGAAAAGTTCCAGGCAAATGAATTGATAGCAGCCTGTAAATGTTTGAGTCTGGATGAGACAAACCAGTGACTGATGCTATGAGCATCATTCAATGCTGCCGGGTCAGAATGACATTAAGTCACACTCCATTGTATTGCCTTACTGATATGTTTCTGGCATTTTAGAAGTTGGGAAGTACAATATAGAAAAACTTTAAGGATAACAACTTCTTTCTTTTGTGGGTGCAACTTTTTGATGCAGATTCTTGTACCGTTGTCAAGAATCTGCATCGAAATGTCGCACTAACGAAATAAAGAAGTTGTTACCCCAAAGTTTTTCTATATCTTACTGATACGTGTTACAGAAAATTCTTGCAATGGATAATTTTGGAGTTGATATAATGAAATTCCGAAAGTTTTTGAGTTTCAGAAGTACATATTATATATTTGATAAATTTTTAATGAATGAAAACTGAGTTATGGCTTTCGAGATATGTCTATTTTATGTTTATATTATTTTGTATTTTATGATATACCTGTGGAGAAACATACTTGTATAAAAAAAATTGTTTACCGAAAAACATGTATTCCCAAGATATGACATTTCAAACCCAGACCAGCCTGTTCAGTTCACCCCTGAGGAACCAGAAATCTCAGAGAATGTTCAGAATGTTTGATAATGAAAACACCATCTGCCTTAAGATTAGAAAAGCAGATCAACCAGTGTGAAATTGGTTTGTTGTTGTTTGCTCGTGATCTGATGAGTCAAGTTGTTAAGGTGTGCTTGAGGCTGCAGTTACCAGGATGTGTAGCAGACGGCATCCTGAGGAGATATGTAGGTAGTATGCACTGCCAACTGGCCAATTTCTTCACAGGGCCATTCTGACTTTGCCACTGATGAGAAAAATCCAGAACCTCTTCACAAAAAGAGTTCAGTTTGTTCAGCATCTTTATCTTGTGTTGGTGAATTACTAACGTTGATGCAATGGAATATCTGAAAGCATGTGAGTATTGATGCTTAAAATATTTCAATATGGAGATGTGTGTGTTCTGTGTGAAACATGAATGTCAAGGGCCTTTTGTAACCTTCATGATGAAGAGAGGTCCCAAACAGTAGGGAAGTATGTCTGAGGACCCAAGACCGCCTCCGTGGTGTAGTGGTTAGAGCGTCAGCCCGGGGGTTCGATCCCCGACCGCGTCATACCAAAAGACGTTAAAATATGGTACTTGTTGGTCCCTGCCTGGCGCTCGGCATTAATGGGTACAACAAGGACTGGTCGGCTCGGAGTCAGTATAATGTGTCTGAGTGGGATATTCATGCTTCATTGCGGCATGGTATCTCAGTGGGCTAGCACTATTAAACCAGCTTCAGTCTGGGCTAGTACAAGCAGCCGCACATACACACGCATGCACGTCGTCATATGAGCGAAATATTCTCAAGCACGACGTTAAACCCACTTTCACCTCACCTCACCTCTGAGGACCCAACCCAATTTTAGACATTACTTCTGTTTTTGTGAACTTGCACAGTGAATGTGTCCTGTACTTATTGTTGCTTAGCTAAATATGAGTTTCTGGTTATAACACTTTAGTCTTAGGTCAGGAATTCACTTTGATTAGTGTTTCGGAAGATACTGTTTACAGCAAGGGGTAGAGGATTGGTATAATGGTAGCCATCCTTCTTTAATAGCACATGTATTCTGATGGTTGTGGTCAAGGTAGATTTGTTTGTTTGTTTGTTTGTTGTCTAATACAGCAGTATTCTAGTGATATTGCAGCGGGCTGTAAATAATCAAGTCTTGACCAGACAATTGACTTAATGAGCATTGGTCCCTGCAGATCATTCATGAAGCGTCTGAATTTTAGAAAACAAGAACTTGAAAAGAATTCCCAATTTTTAACAAAATAATAATTTATTTTCGATTTTACTACTAAAGATGATTAGGTTTTGACCCGGATACATATACGGATAAAGATTGATAATGCGATGTGCCGTTGAGATTGACATCCAATGATCGAGGGAAAAATACCAGCGCCTTGAGCATGCACTAGTGCGTGGATATGTGCGCTATATAAATATCCTATAATAATAATAATAATAAATACATATTGTATATTGATTTCAAGCTGTAAGAATAATCACGAAGGCTATTAATGTTAGAGGTAATATTGTAGTGTCCCGCCCTCCCTCATTAAATGTGGTTGTATTGTCCAAATAGTGCTATTAGTTTTAACTTTCCACAGTAGTGTTAGTTGTAATTGTGATATTCTAGTTGTTTTACTGTCCTTTGAAGACAGGTTTTTCTAATATACACATATTACATTTCAATGACAAATATGTTCTCGTCATGATATGGCTGAAATATTGCCGATGTGACGTTAAATATCAACTCACTCTCTCACTCATTAAATGTGGTTGTATTGTCCAAATAGTGCTATTAGTTTTAACTTTCCACAGTAGTGTTAGTTGTAATTGTGATATTCTAGTTGTTTTACTGTCCTTTGAAGACAGGTTTTCTAATATACACATATTACATTTCAATGACAAATATGTTCTCGCCGCGATATGGCTGAAATATTGCCGATGTGACGTTAAATATCAACTCACTCTCTCACT